AAAAATAATAATAAAAAATAAAGAATCTGGCCGTGGCCGGTTTGGCTCAGTGGATAGAGCGTTGGCCTGCAGACTCAAGGGTCCTGAGTTCGATTCTGGTCAGGGGCATGTACCTTGGTTGTGGGCACATCCCCAGAAGGGGGTGTGCAGGAGGCAGCTGATCGATGTTTCTCTCTCATCCATGTTTCTAACTCTCTATCCCTCTCCCTTCTTCTCTGTAAAAAATCAATAAAATATATATATTTTTAAAAAAGAATCTGGAATGGGGGCCTAGGAAGCCCTAGAGGACCGGCAGGGGCAGGGCAGGCGATCCCGCACACAATGAACCGGGGCCAAACAATGGCGGGAAGGATGGCTATAGGACAGGATGCAAACAGCACAAACCCTGACAATGTGAAAACAAGAACCCACAGCCGGGGAGGGGGCCGGAGGGAGGAAGTGGGTGAGCTCATTTCCTCACCCGAAGTCGCAGGCTGTCTAGAGGTGCCATCTACAGTTGGAACAGGTTTAAAGACCGAATCCAGCCTCTTGGTAGTTTCCCTTCCTTTCGGAGAAACAGTGAAGAAGCACAGTTATTTGCAGTTTGGCAGTTTCTAGATCCATTTAGGCTTCCTTTTTGCTCTGTTGAATTTAAATACTTTTTCCAAAAAGACCTTGTATTTGTGTCCTTTTTTTTTTGTAAAAATGTCCATCCATTTACTTGCCCCTTTCCCTGAATACATGCGGAAGGAGGTATCTCCAATAACGTCATACCCTTCAGTGTTAGATGAATTTCTTTAAAAAAAAAATCTGAATACATGCGGAAGGAGTTATCTCCAATACCGTCATACTCTTCAATTTTAGTATATGTGCTGCCGAAGCGAGCACCCGTCATACTCTTCAGTGTTAGATGAATTTCTTTAAAAAAAAAAATGTGTGTGTGTGTTTATATATATATACACACACACATACATACATATATATATATACACACATATATATATATAATTTGATTTCAGAGAGGAAGGGACAGGAAGAGAGAGAAACATCAGTGATGAGAGAGAATCATTGATTGGCTGCCTCCTGCACGCTCCAGCGTCAGCTTGTGGCCTGCAACCCAGGCAAGTGCCCTGATCAGGAATTGAACCGTGATGACCCCCTCCCCCCGCCCCCTGCTCATAGGTCCGATGCTCAACCACTGAGCCACGTGGGTCAGGCATGAATTTCTTACAAGGAGCATGCCCTACAATTATAAAAGCAAAACCTTTTCTTAAAAAAAAAAAAAAGTCTGGAAGAGAAATATCTTTGCTCCTTGGCCAGCACCTCTCACTCAGGCATCTTCCTCCCGGGACGGTTCCCTCCGGGGGAGAGGGGCCCTGCATTGTCCTGGGGGTCCGGCTGGGGGCGGAGGCCTGTGGCAGGTGTGGAGGCAGCGCCTGGGAGTCAGAGCCCGTGCTCCGTGTCCAGCCAGGGACTGAGCCTCTCGGCTCGGCTTCCTCATCTGTCAGCCCAAGAAGCCTGCCTCTCAGGTTGCATGAGGGACATGTGATGTGCTCACATGTCCACCCACAGGGGATGCTCACGAGAGAGGCCTGTTTACACTGTGCCATCAGAGAACCACTTCTAACCAACACCAGTGCCAACCCGGCTAAAGGCCAAGTTTGAGAGTCCCCGGTAGATCCATCTGGCTGCTTTGAGCCCTAATAGCCACTCTTATGGTCTCAGCTCCATCTAGTGTCCACATCAGGACACAGTCACATACAGGGTGGGGCAAGAGTAGGTTTACAGTAGTTTGTGTGGAAAACAATACGATAATAAACAAGAACACAAGAGTAAACTGTTTCACACTCACAACTGTAAACCTACCCTTGCCCCACCCTGTATGACTGGCTTATTGCAAACACCGAATTCCATACTTGCAAAAGGTCCAGCACTCATTAGGCAAACAGGACCGAAAAAAGATCAATTTAAAACTCTCCTCCTGCCCCAGCTGGTTTGGCTCAGTGGATAGAGCGTCAGCTTGTGGACCAAAGGGTCCCTGGTTCGATTCCGGTCAAGGGCATGTACCTTGGTTGCTCCGTGGCCTGGGCCCTGGTCGGGTTCGTGCAGGAGGCAACCGATCGATGTGTTTCTCTCACATTGATATTTCTCTGTCTTTTCCTCTTTCTTCCACTCTCTAAAAAAATCAATGGAAAAATATCCTCTGGTGAGGATTAACTAACTAACTAACTAACTAAAACATTGCCCCCACGAAGGGATAGATTTGGTAGCAAGTAGCATACAAATTTAATTCTTCTAAAGACTTGTTCATTCTTTCTTTGAAAGCACATATTCAAGTAACAGATGATACTTATAATTGATCCTGGGAATTTCTGCAAGTGGAGAGAGACATGAGGGCCTTGAGGGGCGGTCAAAGGGCCCCTGGCTGTCAGGGGAGGACTGAGCTAGTGGGTAGTGTGGGGCTCTCTCTCTCCGCAGGGCTCCCGACAGGGAAAGGCCGGGGGTCAGAGCGGGGGGGCCAGGAAGGGTGTCATGGAGGCCACTGACCCAGTGCACTGGCCTGGGAAGGAAGGGATGCCAGGAGAGGATGGGCAGCTGGAGAGGAAGGGACAGGGATCGATCCGCAGTGGGGGTCAAAGAACAGGGTCTGTGTAGATCAAAGTAGAGATGATGGCTCAGGAGGTTAGGCCAGAGATGGGATTTCTGGGTAAGATTTCCGCAGTCACCTTTGTGATAAGCTGTGGGTGTGGCTGAGAAGGTGGTCTCTCAGGCTGTTGGCTAGGCCAGGCCTGTGAACCCTGCGGGGACGCGGGGAACAGGGAGGGACAGAGTTAGAAAACAAAGCCAAATCCTTGGGGAGGTGTGGACAGGGCTAAAGGCCAGTCCATGAAGAGGAGCACTGGAGGAAGAAGCATCCGTGGCTGAACCTCCACAGGGGACTGGTTTTATTAAAAATACTAGAGGCCTGGTGCACGAAATTTGTGCGGGGGGAGGAGGGGCTCTCTCAGGCTGGCCTGCACCACCCTCTTACAATCCGGGACCCCCTTGGAGGATGTCTGACTGCCAGTTTAGGCCCAATCCCATGAGGGCAGTCAGACATCCCTCTTGCAATCTGGGACCTCTGGCTCCTAACTGGTCGCCTGCCTTCCTGATCGTCCCTAACCACTTGCCTGCCTTCCTGCTCATCCCTAACCGCTTGCCTGCCTGATCGCCCCTAACTGCCTCTGCCTCGGCCCCTGCACCCGGGACCCAGGCTTCCCTCCATCTGGCTGGCCGCAAGCACCCAGGACCCCGGGCGGCACCATCTGGGCAATGCCACCCGGGCCCTGGCTTTGTCAGGAAGGATGGAAGACATCGTCGAACTCCCAAGGGGACATTTGCATATTAGTCTTTTATATATATAGATATTTTTATTCATTTCAGAGAAGAAGGGAGAGGAAGAGAGAGAAGCATCAATGATGAGAGAGAATCATTGATCAGCTGCCTCCTGCACACACCACACCAGGGATCAAGCCTGCAACCTGGACATGTGCCTTGACTAGGAATTGAACCGTGACCTCCTGCTTCACAGGTTGATGGTCAACCACTGATCCAAGACGCCGGGCGGGGGGGAGGCGTTTAGATGAGGGCAGGATTGGGGTCCGGGAGGGGTGCTGGCAGAGGGAGGTGGAACACCGAGGTGCTGCCACGAACCTCTGTCCTGATACTCACAGCTCCCAAAGAACCACTGGCCCTACTTCTTTAGGAACTGCTCTCAGGAGGGGACGCATGACAAGGTCAGTGCAGGACCTGTCAAGCCAAGGACCGGAAATTCCTAACTACAGGCTGCGCTGCCCAGGAGGTGGCGAGGGTGCAGGCTTTCCCCCAACCCGTCACATTCAAGGCCGAAGAAACCACCAAGTGCAGGTACAACCTCAATGTGCTTTTAATTACGAAAGATGTAAAATGATGCATTATAAAACTCGGAAGCTGCTTTATACAAAGTCCAATCTTTAAATATTGTTTGACAAGGGACCTGGGAGTTACGACACTGGCGGGAAGTCTGATTGGTTGCTGGGATGGTTCCGTCGTGAGCAATGAAAACACGCTCAGAACCACCTGCCCATCAATCAGAAGAGCTGGCGAGAGTCAGAACTGGAAATGTCTTCAAATATGCAAATGGACGGGAATACACAACAGACCGTTCAGCTCAGAGAATATACAGTAGACTTGGGAGAACGGAAACAGGACAGGAGAATTCATGTTCATCTTGACATGATCAAGAAAATGTTCTCCGAACACTTCATGTCCTAGAGACCACAACCGTACAGAGAGAAAAAATGGAAAGAGACAGATTTTAGTTCTATGCTGTTTAACTCCAGTAAGTGAGAGTAGTACAGGCATCGATTTCTTGTAACAAAACTAAATATTGAAAAATATTTAGAATGCAGCCACATCGGAGGCCACGGATTGCACCTGGCGTGTCTTAAAGGCACCAGTGAGTGCAGACTTACCCGCCGAAGGTCAGAGCGACTACCTGCCCACGGTTGTCCTTGCCACCATCTAAGCAAAGTGGGTTGTATAATGCCCAAAACCTTTCCACAGAAAAGATCGGACTGATGGACCTAAGGACAAATTCAATTCAGTGCTAAGCCTTACTGTCATTATTATACTCCCCCAAATAGCCACTTTTCCCAGAAGCCCCTGGGGCAGCACAAGTCATCACGTAGGTCTTGGGGTCCCCAGCTATAAGGTGGGGCTGCCTCGCAGGCAGAGAGAGCTGGGACCCCGACACTGATGATCCCCATGGGTAAGGCACTGTGCAGAGTGAATTATGCTGGGACCCCCACTTTTAAGAAAAGCCTCTTATAACATCAGAACCGTTCTGCCTGAAAGGCCAGACCAGATGTTGGGGGCCTTGGACACAGGGAAGGCAGCCAGGGGCTGGCTTCTTTCGGCACATGGGGTGCTGTGTGCCCTCACAAGGAAAGGCCCTTTACTTTACCAGTCATTCCCCCGGGCCCCCTCTCAGATCTTTGCAGGGATCTGGACGTTCAACTGGGAATAAAGCTGGGAAGGGGAGGCCAGCTGCTCCCTCCTGAGCCAGCCCTCAGGTTTGATTTCCTAATTCAACAGTAGGGACTAGGGGCTGATGTGAAGTGGGTTGACTTGGGGCCACAGAGAAAGATGGAGCTGCTCAAAAGGCCGGAGGGCAGGCACCGCCCCTGCAGAGGGAAAAGATGGGCGAGGTCTGCAGAGGTTGTGCCCAGGGCCCTGGGACAGGCTCCTCCTGCCATGAGGCCCAGCAGTCAGACTCAGACCCGCAGAGCACAGCCTCGCTGCTCTGGGCTGGGAGCTGCCTCGTGACCGTCAGGAGGGACATGCCTGGTGTCTCTGGAAGGGCGGTGGCTGTCTAGGCAAAGGTTCCAGCACCTCTCGCCTCTCCTCTCTGCCTGGTCTCCCTGCCCGGATTCTGCCCAGACCCCTCCGAAGGGGCGCTCAGCAGGCCCTGCCCCCTCTGCTCCCTTCAAACCCAACCGCCATGTTTCTGGTCAGGGGCTGGCCCAGCCTAAGTGAGAGGAAACTGGGAGTTGGGAATACTCTTTTATGCTAAGGTGTCAATGACTAATGATGGTTCCATGAAGGAGGCCTTCATTTTACTACAGAATTCCTTTAACTTCAAAGACTGAAGCTCAATTTTAAAGCAATTGAGAGCAAAACACGGATCTGAGAGGGAAGAACTTTTGAGGGGAGGCCTGTGGACCCCCGAGGCCCAGCACTGGGCGGCCTCAGCTCGCTCGGCCGCGGGGATGTGCTCAGAAGTTGGTCTGCACCTACCTGCGTGGAGCTCAACCTCCAGGAGGGTTTGCTCTGACGGTGGGTTTGCTCACCTAGTGTTAAAAGCATATTAAAGTGCATGCTTGACTTAACCACAGGCACAAGTGTCCGAAAAGCTAAAGCTCTGAGAAGATCTGGCGAGGAATAGGGACAGTAGAGATTAGACTGCCTTACAGCAGGCAGATGCATTCACTCCTGCATTCATTCATTCATTCATACATTCAGCACGCAGTTATGCAGCACCTGCTCAGTGCCAGGCACTTGTTGGTACTGAGGGTTCAATGGTGAATAAGGCACAGTCCCTGCCTGCCCGCAAGGCGCTGAGGGTCCAGTGGAGTTACATGAACACTCCAGGTCCACAGACAAAGCTTCGCTCTGCTGCTGCTCAGGGGCTGGCCCGTCTGCGTCAGACCTCGGCCGTCCTCTCCAGGTGGTGTGTGCGCAGAGGCCTGCACACCTGGAGCGGGTCCAGAGCTTGCCTGAAGGACTTCACGTGCCTGCGAGACACCTGCAGGCCTCTTCTTGCTTCTAGTCCCCGAGAAGCGCTGCTCCTTTGTTCAGGCTCATCCACTGCCAGGGGCTGTTCCTTCAGCGACTGAATACAACCGTCTTCCTTTTCCTCTGGTCCGTAGGAAAAGGCGAACTGCAGCAGCAGAAAGGAGATTATAAACGGGAAGGAAACAAGTTACCATTCGGCTTGCTCAACTCGAGTCTGCTCTTGGACCTCTGGTGCAAATTCTTCTTCATATTAGAATTAAGGCTCTGAGAGCTGCGGCTCTCGGTTCTGCCCTGAACAGCTCTGCCGCCAGCGGGCAGGAGCCCAGCCATCACAGCTGGGTCAGAGAAGGCGTCTGGGGCTGTGGTACCGTCGTTCGAGGCTGAGACAACTCCCGGAAGCCTGGGGCCCCTACCTGCCTCCACCCGAGCCGGTCCCTCCTCAGGGTTGACGTGGGTCAGTGGTCTGAGCATGGCGCCCCTGGGCCTCCGCCCATGACCTTTTTCCTTTGACACACTGACCGGCTGGGTGATGGTCACGGAGATGACCAGCTCGTTGGAAGTCCTGAATGAGCCTGCCTGCTACAGGGTCACCTGCGCCGCAGGCCCGAGAGGCAGTGCCTTGCTCTGTGGTCCAGGATGAGTCACTGTGTGTGAGGTGGGGCCTCATCACAGAGCTGGGAGCCGTGGAATTGGTTCGTTCCATGTCAGAAGCCCGGGATAACGAAAGCCCAGGGGTGCCGCGGGCTCCGTTCTGTTCCGTTTCACGTCGGCTGTTCAGATATAAATTATACCACCCCATTCCCTCCCATCACAGTCGGTCGGCTCGAAACGTCTCTTCAACAGAGGGGTCAAGCAGGCCCATGCTGGAGTCACTTAGCATGTTGAGTCCATCCAAGCTCAGCGGCTCAATTTGGAGCTCTTCCTCCAGCGGGAACGACGTGTCCATGTTCAGGCTGACCTCGGGCATGCCCTCCAGCTCGCTGCCGAGGTCTCTGAACAGGCCAGAGCTCGAGTCCTCTGGAAGGAAGGGCAAGAGGGAACGACAGGGCGGATTAGGAGGCGTGAGGGCAACAAGCTGATGATACCCCCAAAACGCTCCCTGTCATCCTCCCAGCCAGGAAGGACAGTGATCGCTGTGTCCCAGCCACTTCCAGGCCCAGTTTGTTCTGGAATCTACGTTCTTCCCAGTCAGTCCCGCCACTCCCCCCCACCCCACCAACTTTTTTTAAGGTGACTGCTCTTTACTTTTTTGTTTGTTGATTGTTTTTTTTTAATCCTCACTCGAGGATATTTTTCCACTGATTTTTAAGGAAGTAGAAAAGAGAGGGAAAGACAGAGAGAAACATCGATGTGAGAGAAACACATCGATTGGTTGCCTCCTGCACGAGTCCCGACCAGGGCCCGGCCCAGGGAGGAGCCTGCAACCAGGGTATGTGCCCTTGACCAGAATCAAACCCGGGAGCCTTTGGTCTGTAGGCCAATGCTCTATCCACTGAGCCAAACCAGCCAGGGCACGCAACTCCCAATTTTGCAGGCTTTCTCCGTTTGTACAGTGGTCACTCACTGAAAACGAAGTATTTCAGGAGACGCACTGCCTCGGTCTCCGGGCTGGACACCTGCAGCTCACATAGGAAAGGCCGAGCTGGGACTTTCCTGTTTTGCTTTATCTAATGTTGTTGCCGCTTACGCGACCTTGCAATGGAATCTGAACCAACACAGCAAAATCCAAACAGCGCGGAAGCTGCAGGTGGCCCACACTCACCGGTCAGGAGGCTGTTGGGGAAATTCCCGCAGTTGGAATACAGGTTTGGTCTCAAATGAAACGAGTCCTGTGGCTCCTGGGGACCGTGCTGCACCAGGGGCACCTGGAAGATCCAAGGTCACAATGTGAGGAACGACCTCTAAAGCTGAGGAGTGAGTAACACCTCGGCTCCCGGGGCAACCCAGGGGGAACGCCTCTTCCAGTCCCTTCCCTGTGGGATCTGAGCGCCTGGCCGCCGTGCTACCCACCAAGCAGGCAGGGCCTGGTGTGGAGCAGGGCCCCTGAGGTCCCCAGTAGGGACCTGTCCCCATCACGCACGGCCCGGCCCTGTCAGCCATCCCGGGAGACGCCACACTGTGGCTTCTGTGCCCTCTGCCCCCTGCCCCTCCTCGTGGGAACTGCCATCTGCGGGAGCCCTGTCAAGGCTCCCCAAGGAGCTGATGTAGCCAATAGGTTCCTTTCCTCTTTGGTTTCCAGAAAAACGAGGAAACAGAAGCCCTTTCTTCTCACTCGGAGGGAGGAGCCGCAGGCGAGGCCTCGCTATGAGAAAACCGCTAAGAAGAGAGGTCAGAACCGAGGCCGCTCCCAGGTGCCTTCCAGAAATTAAGTTTCCAAACTATTTTTAAAATCTTTCAAAAGTAGGAGTTTCCATCATCTGTCTGGGAGACACTGACCATGAGACTAACATGGCTTCTCCAGACAAAGGGAGGCAGCCCACTGGCTCCTACCACGAGGCTTTCCCACGCCTCCTCGGGAAACATGTGTCTTTATTTCACTGTTTGAAGTCCTGGAAAGTGCTCCTCCGTCCTTACTCCTTTCCAGAGGCCAGCCCACACTTACTACACATTCTAAAACCTCGGGAGGTTAAAAATGGTCAGTGTGCCCAGCGGTGTGGCTCAGTGGTTGAGTGTTGATCTATGAACCAGGAGGTCACAGCTGGATTCTAGGTCAGGGCACATGCCCAGGGTGTGGGATTGATCTCCAGTGTGGGGCATGCAGGAGTTAGCTCAATCAATGATTCTCTCTCATCATTGATGTTTCTATCTCT